TCGCTTCTCCTTTCCCCCAAAACACTTCCACCCACCTTCCAGAAAAGTTCTTCGGAGGATCTTTGGAGCAGCCGAGTTGGGACCCTTACAGAATCCTTCCAGGGAGAGGTCTGGATCCCAAAGTTTCCAGCTGTCAGGCACCACTTAGAAGGAGCCGCTTTGGATGTCCCACCTTCTCCAGCGTAAAAAGTGCCTTTCCTGAAACTGCAGCCTTCTCCTCCAAAAAAGAGAGAGAGAGACCGGATTGCACCCCTTTGGCTAGGCCTCTTTCCTTCTCAGGCCAACTCCTTAATCTGCCAAGAGGTCAGGGATCTCTCAAGATTGATCCTTTGCCAGCTGCCTGTGATGACCGTGATGCCTTAACCGTGATGCTTTTTAAGGAACCGGGAGATGCCGGTTTGCTCGGCTGGTCTTCCTGCCCGCAGATTCTTCTTCAACAAATGACAAAGGTACTCAAGTGGCTTAGGTCAGGGGTCTCCAAAGGTGGCAACTTGAAGACTTGTGGACTTCAAAGCTGGCTGGGGAATTCTGGGAATTGGAAGTCCACAAGCTTCCCAACCTAATCGCCTTGAGAAAGTCACTGAACACCTGCCTGGTCTCCCAGGTCTGGGGCAGGGTGATGGCTGAGCCCCTGTAGAGTTATTTTCCACAACTCCTGCTGTGTCTGGAAAATGACAAAATATGTTTTATTCCAAGCCCACCACCCCTGAGTTTTAACAGACTGGAAGGAAGGAAATTAAAAAAGTGTGATACAAAATTACAGAATAGAATAATGGAGTTGGAAGGGACCTTGGAGGTCCTAGTCCAACCCCCTGTTCAAGCAGGAGATTCTATACCATTTCATATAAATTGATGTCCAATTTCTTCTTGAAAACCTCCAGTGTCGGAGCACCCACAATTTCTGTTCCACTGCTTAATTGTTCTCACTGCCAGGAAATTTCTCCTTAGTTCCAGGTTGCTTCTCTCCTTGATTAGTTTCCATCTGTTGCTTCTTGACCTGCCTTCAGGTATTTTGGAGAATAAGATGACCCCCCCTCTACTCTGTGACAGCCTCTCAAATATGGGAAGCACATGACTGGCTGGGGAATTCTGAGAGTTGAAGTCCACAAGTCTTAAGGTTCTGAGGTTGGACACCCTGGTCTAGGGGCTCCTGCTAGAGCAGGGGGTTGGACTAGAAGACCTCCAAGGTCCCTTCCAACTCTTGTTATTCTGTATTCTCCCTCTCGCCTCCTTTTGCTGGCTGGAAGAATAACAGAATAACAGAGTTGGAAGGGACCTTGGAGGTCCTCTAGTCCAACCCCCTACTCAAGCAGGAAATTTCAGACAAATGGCTATCCAGTCTCTTCTTGAACATCTCCAGTGTTGGAGCACCCACAACTTCTGGAGGGAAGCCGTTCCACTGATTAATTGTTCTCATATGTCAGGAAATTTCTCCTTACAGGTATATGTATGTTTATAAGAATAGCATTTAGAATTTGGCTTCTGTAATTCTGAATTTCCCTTCTGGATTCTTAGGAACTTTTACTTCCTTTTTTTTTTCAAATTGCCCTTTTCTTTAACGTGACCTACCCCGTGTCTCCTGCAATCAGGCAGCCTCTGAATTATATTCAAGAATACTTTGGTTGTTTAGCCAGCAGCTAATGAATGTTGCTTCCGTTTGGGATGACTAATGGCCGTTATAAGCTCATTCTGCTGCTGGTTTTAGTTCCTCCCACTCATCTAAGATAGACTGAGATAAGTCTCCAATATTTTCATATCTTGCTTAAATGAAATGAAAGAAATTGTACAGGACCTCCTGCTTGAGCAGGGGGGCTGGACTAGAAGACCTCCAAGGTCCCTTCCAACTCTGTTATTCTGTCTCCAAACTAAGCTTTCTCCGTGTAATGTGAAAGAGCGATTTTTACAAGCTCTCAAGATTCTTACTATCAATTAGTAGCCTTTCTGAATTTTCCTATTTTCTTTTTTTTTAAAATACCAGCAATAATAGCAACAGCAGCAATGGAAAGCCAAAACGGCTGCAATAGCTATACTAGTCTCCCTTTCATTCTTTGTTGGCAAAATTTAAACTTAACCCACAAATAGCCTGGCGCAGAAGCGACTGTCTGTGAAGGCTCCTAGATTGGGGCTCCGTCCCATATTTGGGGTAGACCAGGTTGCCCTGATAGACCAATTTCACCAGAAAACACTTAACAGCTGCAAAGGCATCACCCACCCATGTTATCTGTTCTTGCAAGAAGCTTTAATGCTACTTGCCTGATATCAGAATAATAGAGTTGGAAGGGACCTTGGAGGTCTTCTAGTCCAACCCCCTTCCCAAGCGGGAGACCCTATACCCAGGGGTAGCTGGCTGAGGAATTCTGGGAGTTGAAGTCCACGAGTCATAAAAGAGCCAAGGTTGCCTACCCCTGCCCTATACCATTCCGGGCCAATGGCTGTCCATTCTCTTCTTAAAAACCTCCAGTGATGGAGCACCCACAACTTCTGGAGGCCAGTCGTTCCACTGATCAATTGACCCACAACCTCTTTGCCAGCCCAGCCCAGCCCAGCCCAGCCCAGCCCAAGGTACCTCTGTTCTGATCTTTGCGAGAGCAACAGGAAGCCTGCAAGACTTTTTGGTCCTGATGGGTGGATTTTGGGGAACCAGGATCCCAGGCGTTGCACAACCCACAAAGGTGCCGATCCTCTTCCTTTCCTTTGCTTGCCAAGAGTTGCAGAGCTTCTCCAATGTTCCTTCAACCTCTTTGTAGCCTGTTGTCCAGATTTATGACCAGGCTAACCATGTCCTACACCCAGGATGATGCAGGCTTTCGCCCCACCTCTGTGATGTTGAAATGGCTGCTCAGAATTAAAACCAGGGGACTTTTCCAAATATTTGCTGGCTGCCCCAACAAAGGATTGACAGATGCTAAGACAGCCTGCAATACACTCATATCTCTTCCTGCCAACAAGTTTTGCTGTACAACATTTCAAGTCAGAGAAGTCATTTTCAAGACAACAGATTCTGAGCCACAAAGATGGGGAGATCCCTAACCTTGGCACCCAGGGGTGGTCTTGCCAAAACATGGAATGGTCATCTCCTTCGGGCGATCCTGCATATAGGGAGGACCTTCTACCAGAGTCAGTTGTAAGGAGAGGCCGGCACAATTGTGCACCACTTTGAAGATATCAATCCAATCCACCCAATTCTTGGTTTTCATCACATCTGCCTGAATTTTAATTTTGCTTTCCATTTCTGACACTTATTTATTTATTTATTAAATTTATATACCGCCCTATCTCCCTTACGGGACTCAGGGCGGTGAACAGGCGATACTAAAAACCACAATAATAAATAAATAGTTTCTGTTCTAAAATCAAATTAAATAACGGGCCTGTTCTAAAAACACCCCATACAAAAACCCCCACTAAAACATAATCAAACTACGCCACAGAGACCACCCCGACACAGAGATCACCAGTTATGCTGTGATTGAGAGACAGATTTAGCCATCTTAGTGGTATGAATGAATACAAAGCTACCAGGAAGTAACCAGGTTTGTGTCTGTTTGACCAGTTTATCAGATTGAAAGCAAGCTTGATACAGAAGTGAGACAACGGAGGGAGCTTATATTGACCACTGTCAGAAAAAAATAATTTGGGGTTCCAACTCAAGCTGGGGTCGCACAAGAATAAATAAAAATGGAATCTAGACAGCTGTGAGGAAACGAGAAATATTTATTCCCCAAAAGCAAAGAGCTTTGCTTTAGGAGCAGCTGCAGAGAAATGGGGTACAGCGAGATTGTTTTATAGGGGAGCATGTCCCGGGTGTGGAATTGTGTATATGCTGATTCTAGGGTGACACTGGAAGGGTGTGGTGTGTATAAGATTGTAGAACACATTATAGAATGTTGGGCAAGCAAAATGGACACCTTCATACATGCAGGGTTTGGCCAGACCAAGGTTACGGCTATATCCCAGAGGCGCCTTGCAGGATTTTAGGAATATCCAGGAGCAACAGGTTCGTGTGAAAAAGTGAGCAGGGGAGTGTGGTTGATTGTTTCTGAGGAAAAAGGCAACCAAGTTGATAATCAGCTCCAGAAATGGAATGTGCCATTCTTTCAGCCCCAGTGGGCTAATTCTGAACCAGAATGGAACAAAAACTATTTTAATCAACTGCCCCTCCTTTTTCTTCCTGCATTCTTTTTCCTCTCTCAAATATAAGATTATAAAGCAAGAGGAGGAAAAAACAAAGCTAACTGTTCCAATGGGAATTTCTATTTAGGTCAGTGTTTTTCAACCTTGGCAGCTTGAAGATGTGTGGACTTCAACTCCCAGAATTCCCCAGCCAACGTGTAAATAAACTTTTACGATGGGTGGACTTCAATTCCCAGAATTCCCCAGGCAGGATGCAGTTGGGCTGTTTTGGTGCTGTTTGGCAGAGGCTTTTTTCTTTTCCTGGTTTTTATCTTCCCCGTGGTCTTGGCGTTTGGCTGCCGTAGCTAGATCTTCCCCGTTTTTGGGAGAGGAAGGAGACATGTGGTCTTCGTTACCATCTTGGATTTGTCTCTTGACATTTATGAGCAGAACTCTCTCTCTCTCTGGAGGAGATTAAAATAGTCTCTTGAGCACGGGACATCCCAGGCCTCTTGATCTCCGGGAATCCCCATCCTGTCTCTGAGAGGGCCTTTCTGAAAAATGGCAAGGAATGGCACTAACGGGCAAATTCTACGGGTTGCTGAGAGAGGTTTGGTGGGACACTCTCGGCAAGACGGCTCCTGTCCAGAATCTTTCTAACGTCTACACGATGTCATGATTTGTCTTCTTGTGTTGGAGGACAAGCTCAGGGCTTTGGGTGTCGGGTTGAGTGATTGCTGTAGCGGAACAACCAGGAGGTTGTAGCCCTGCAAGGACCACAAAACAGAAATGGAAACTCTTCACAAAAGGGCATTTCTCGGCCAACATCAGGGGCTCCTAGCAGGAAGTCCAAGGATCTCCAGCCACTTCCAGGGAGGACACCCTCTTCAGATTTGGTCTGGAGTGGATTCCACTTCAGCTATCTGTGGGGGAAGAAGGGGGCTGCCCCCCAGTCTCTTTCCTTCGTTATGGAACCCCCTGTGCATCACAGCTACCAGGTATCTGAAGAGGCCCTAGGAACAGGAAGAAGAAAAAAAGAGAAGGCCATTTTTAAAATAAATCTAAGCGTAATGCAAGTAATCCTTGACTTATGACAACTGAGACCAACATTTCAAGCTGTCAAGTTGGAGGAGGAGGAGAAATGTGGGGTCCCTGGTGGTTTTCTTGCAGATCTTTCATGACGCAACTAGGTAACGCCATCAGTGCTAGAAAGGAGAAGGGTTGGAAGGAGGAGGAGCAGGAGGACTGTGGGATCCCTGGTGCTCTCTGAGCTTGTTGTTTTCTTGCAGACATTTCATAACCCAAGTAGATAATATCATTAGGATATTGTTTTCTGCTTGATTGTTTATTGTTAATGCCCGATTATCTTCCAAATTCCCCTTACCTGCCAGGCCTTCTCAACCTCCAGAGTCCAATCATCTTTGAGAATTGGCCGAACAGCCTGGATGAATTGAATTCCAATGTACTGTAGAAAAAAAAAGAGAGAGAGAGAGAAATATAAAACGCCAAAGAAACAACGGTAATTTTGGAAAAGAGAGACAGGGAGGTGGATTACCTGCTATGAATTACTGACATCTTTTACAGCTATTAGATTGCTTTAAAATATATGTGTTGCGGGTCGCAGACATTTTAAGAGATACAGTCATAGTTATACAATAACATCTGAGAAAAGAGGATAAAATTTTACGGTGCAATTCCCTCCTTCGCTTCACTCCATGAATTTTACAAAGGTGTAGGCTTGGTCATTGTTCATTTGTCTTCCTCTTGGGTTTCCTTGCTGCAAAATTCTTTCTTTCTTTCTTTCTTTTAGCAAAAGCAATCAGGCAAAAAAAAATATATCTAAAGAAACCAAAAAGCAATGCATTTGCATGCTTTTACAGGAGACAGGTGTAGATGCCCCATCAGCAATGCCTCTAAGCAATTACAAAAGCAAGGACATTAACCCCCCCCCCCCCTGGGAATATTGTTGCCCTTCCTGATGTAGGAGAAGCAGTGGCAGAACCTGGGGGTGGCATTAAAACAGGAATCAGCCTAGTATCCCTAAATAGCCACAAGTGAACTAAGTCCAACTTCCCTTGAATTCTGAGAACCTGTATCTAATTCCTAGCAGGTGCTAACATTTAGTTGAGAAGATTCCTGCCCGTAGGCCCTTAGCAATAAATCAGCTGAACTGAACTTTCACGTGTGGACCTGGCCTTTCACCCCTGACCAATCTAACACTCTGAGGTAGGTTTCTGTCTGCAAAAGTAGCTCGGTACCAGTTGGACAACGTCCAGATGGTTTGTGAAGAGAGCCACAGTCTTCTAAATGTACTTTTTTTAATTATGCAAACTATAAAAAGGAAGGCGTGATTTCTCTGTTCTTCTCTTTCTTGTGAAATCAATAAGAGAATCCTGTTTAATTGAAACATTTCAAACAAATTATAAATTAAATTATCTTCCTCGTCTCAGTGTCATAATTGGGGGTTCTAGCGTACCGAGGCTCTCATCTAGAAGCCAGATTTGGCCATCAGGGCGGAGTAAAAGGAGGGATCAGCCTAGCATCCCTACGTAGCCACCAATGGTCTAAGTCAGAGGTCCCCAAACTTTTGGGCATCAGGGACCAGTTCCGTGGAGAGAGGTTTTTCCATGGACCGGAGGATGTGTGGTTTTGTGTGCTGCTGCATCCCACGGATGGGGCTTTGCTTGTTTGTGTGGACCGGTTGCTGGAATGCTGCGGCCCGGTACCAGTCCACGGACCAGGGATTGGGGACCCCTGGTCTGAGTCCAATGTCCCTTGAATTCCATTAACCCTTCTCTAACTCCTCGCAGGTGCTAACATTAGTGGAGAAGATTCCTGCGTGCCGGCTTTTAGCAATGAAATAGTTTAATGGAAGATCAATTCACATGGACCTGAGACCTTCCACTCTAAAAAGGGAGAGGATCAAAAGGCAATTAGGAATATCCTTCTTAGAAAATTAGGAATATCCTTCTTAGTTTCGAATTGCTTAATTCTTCAACAGGGTGTATAGGGGCACCCCAACTTTTGAATTCAGCCCAGCCTTGGTAGCCCTCTTGCTGCTCTTCATCTCACCTCGTAGTAGTTGGGGGGAGCTTTATAATGGAAGTGGTTCTTGCCCAGCTCAAAGGCGAGAGCCTCCAGCTTGGGTTCTTGATCCAGTCGAGCCACGCTCTTCTCGATGAAGGACATCACTCTAGGGAGGGCGAGAGAATAGAGGAGACCTCTTTCTGGGCATGCGTTCATCCTCAGTGGGACTCCCGACCCCATTCCTAGGAAATCTACAAAGACCCATAGCAAAGTTTTGGGCAGGACAGAAGTTCCGATTCAGCCTTGCATAAGAGAGGAGAGAAGAGAGGAATTCTCCGAATTACGGGAAACGTCTAGGAAAGCAACTCTCTCTTCTCGTCCACAGCTCTCTAGAGGGTCTGTGGGCTGGGGCAAAGTGGGGGGAAATGGCTGGAGGAGAGGGGCTTGGAGGTCCCGAAGCATTGAGGTAATCATTTTAGAGTCTAGATCTGGGTTGCTCAACCTTGGCAGCTTTTAAGATGGGTGGACTTCAACTCCCAGAATTTCCTACCCATAGTTTTCTTTGACCTGATTTGGTCTGCAAATGTATCTTTTGGCTGCGTTCCTCTTCTGGATCGCCGTTGGATCCATTCCATGAAATTACAAATGAGTATCTAGGCCAGTGTTTCTCAACCTTGGCAACCTGAAGATGTGAGCTGGCTGGGGAATTCTGGGAATTGAAGTCCACACATCTTCAGGCTGCCAAGGTTGAGAAACACTGGCCTAGATATGCTAATTTCTTCCTTGGCTTTCAGGGACTATTTTAATCTCCTCCAGAGAGAGAGTTTTGCTCATAAATGTCAAGAGATAAATCCAAGATGGTAATGAAGACCACACGTATCCTTCCTCTCCCAAAAAACCTGGAAGATCTAGCTACGGCGGCCGGATGCCAAGCCCACGCAGAAGATAAAAACCAGGAAAAGAAAAAAAACCTCTGCCAAACAGCACCAAAACAGCCCAACTGCATCCTGCCTGGGGAATTCTGGGAGTTAAAATCCACCCATCGCAAAAGTTTATTTACATGATGGCTGGGGAATTCTGGGAGTTGAAGTCCACCCATCGTAAAAGTTCATTAGCATGCTGGCTAGGGAATTCTGGGAGTTGAAGTCCACAAGACCTAAAGTGGCCAAAGTTGGACACCCCTCCCCTATGCCATTCCAGACAAATGGCTGTCCAGTCTCTTCTTAAAAACCTCCAGTGATGGAGCGCCCTCAATCTCTGGTGGCAAGTTGTTCCACTGGTTGCTGGTTCTCACTGTTAGGAAATTTCTCCTTATTCCTAGGTCACGGAAGGATACACATCCCCTTGTGTTGCCTATAGCCACAATGAAGGATCCAAGTGTCGCCTGAGAACCATCTCCAAAGGAGAAGGTGGAAGCTCCGTCCAGCTGCCCCTGTTGTTTGGGTGGAGGAGATCCAGAAGCCTGGCCCAAGTTGGACCCTCAGACCCACCTGAGCCCGTGGGCTTGAAGCTCCTTACTCATCTTCAGCTGTTGCAGATCGTCTACGTCCCGGAAGAGGAAAAAGACATCCTTACACTCGGGGTGGGTCTCAAAGAGTCTGGAGAAGAAACAGGAGACGGTCCAGATAGCAGCTTCCTTGGGGGGAGGGGGGGGTCTTCTTCCTGCAACCTGCAATGGTCGGTGAGGACCTCAAAAGACAGGAGGAGGAGGAGGAGGAGGAGGAGGAGGAGGAGTAGCTGCAGAATAGGCAATGGTCAGATAAGAGACCTCGCAGCCCTGAGGAGGAAAAGGGGCCTGGCAAACATCTCAGAAGGGACCCTCCCCACTTTCTGGGACTGTAAAGGTGAGGGGGCAGAAATAAATTTTCCAGCTTGCAAGCCCTCCTCCTCCTCCTCCTGCCTCTCTTCTCGCAGACCCCTCCCCATGTTCAGAGACATAGTTGAACCCATTTTCTTTCCCATCCTATCTTTGCTCTGCCACCACCCCTCCCCCCTCCCCCTCTGGTTTTATGGCATCTGCTTTGGCTAACAAAAGGGAATAAACACAAGCATTGTTTAAGGAATGTTTATCCTGGCCTTTGTCATCGTGATCTCAGGATGTTTAACCGCTCTCTTCAAACAAAAGCCGTGCCAACACAATCTATAAAAGCCATCTGAAAAGCACATGTGAAAACAGCAGAGCAAACGCAGCCAAGCTGCATGGAAAAAAAAACGGCTCCCCATGGATGGAGGTGCCCGTAAGATGCCCGAGAAAGTCACTTGGCAATAAAATCTATTGCTCCTTTTATTTATTATTTTTTTAATGCCAGGCGTGCCTCTGTGGCAGATTGCACCCCCGAGGTTTCAAAACACAACTGCCGCCTCCCGTCTCTTTCCTCCACCCATCCTGGCAAGGGTCAAGCCAGGAATAGAACAGAACAGAACAGAACATCGGAACAGAACAGAACCAACCCAGTGTACATACAAGCGGCAAATGATAAATCGCAATCATAATCATAAAAATACAATCACCGTAAATCATAAGGTACAACACTCAGCGATAGTCGTGAGATACTAAATAAATGCAATCAACATCAATCGTAAGTGATAGTCGTAAGATGCTAGAGGCGTAGGTAATAGGAAAAATGAGAAGGATAATAGTAATACAGCCCTACTAATGGTTTGACAGCCCAGTGCATAAAAGGGGGACAGTGCTGTGGGGATTAAGTGTTCAGCAGAGCGATGGCACGGGTGTGTGTGTGTGTGGAAACTATCTTTGTGTCTAATTGTTTTGTCATGCAATGCCCTATAGCAGGGATCCTCAACCTTGGCAACTTTAAGACTTGTGGACTTCAACTCCCAGAATTCCTCAGCCAGCTTTGCTGGCTGAGGAATTCTGGGAGTTAAAGTCCACAAGTCTTAAAGTTGCCAAGGTTGAAGACCCCTGCCTTATAGCACCGTCCCGAAGAGGGAACTTGAAACCTTTTACATCCTGCATGTGAGAAGACTATAGATATGTTCTCAGCCCTCTTTCTGGTTCGTGCAGGGTACAGGTCCTCAGTGGAAGGCAGGCTGGTTGCCATTGTTCTTTTCTGCAGTCCTAACTATCCGTGGAAGTCTGTGTCTGTCTTGTTGGGTTGCTGTGCCAAGCCAGACAGTTACAGAGGTGAGAGACTCAATAATTCCTCTCTAGAACCGCATCAGCAGCTCCTGGGACGGTCTGAGCGTTCTGAGTTGGCGCAGGAAGAACATTCTTCGTTGTGCTTTTTCGATGATGGGCCTTTTAATACAATTCATGTGGAAAAGGTTAAGTTGGAAAGGTTTTTTTGCAGACAGGCAACGTGCTTGGGCTCCCGAGAGCTTTCTCCGTTGCTCTTACCCCAGCGAAAACAAACAAAGGCAACACAACTTTGCGACACACGATTCAGATGTCGAAAAGGATGCGTTGAAGTGATGACTCTTCCCTAGCTCTCTGTCTCTAAGCGCTTGGCCTGGACTAAATAACAAACAGCTCGCCCTTTTCTATCAAATTCTTTGAATGTTGTGGTTTCATTAAAAGGGGCTTACGATGAATCCAGCCGTCTCTGCTCCAGGATGGAAGACGTGATCAGTCTTGGGAAGTGGATGCAGCTACTTGAAAATATGAAGTTAATTAAAGCGCTTTGAGGACCACCGTGTCGGGGTCTGCGCCTCTCGTCATGGGAAGAAATTGCACGGAAGATGGATAAGGGAGAGATCGGCATTGAAAACGGGTGGATTTGTCATCGCTGGGAGATTCAGAGGCGCTGGCAGTTGGGTGGCATATAGATAAATTATTCTTATGACTATGCAGGTTTATAATCTGAAGCGGCTGCGATTGAAATAGCCATGACGAAGTGGGAGTTAAAAACGAGGAATTGGATGCAGGCAATCCTGGAATTATGACTCACCCCTCGGGCTCGGTGGGACTGAATTAGCTGTTCAAGGCCAATTTGGAAGCAATAGCTGGGTCCAGAATCCAAATGGTTGCGAAACATTTACTCCGAGTAACTCTAAATCCAGGTAGTCCTTCACTTACGGCCACAACTCAGCTCAAAATACTTATCGGAAGGTTCGCAAAAAGGGATCACAGGACACCCTCCCCCCGGGACACAGCAACCGTCACAAGTACAAGTCAGTTGCCAAGCATCTGAATTTTGATCACGTCACCGTGGGGATGTTGCAACAGTCATAAGTGTGAAAAATGGCCGTAAGTCAGCTTTTTCAATGCTGTTGTAATTCTGAATGGTCACTAAACAAGTGGTTGTAAGTCAAAGACTATCTGTACCCTCGCTGTCATAATGGGCACTTTACAGGCTGATGGTTGTGAGAAGGCGAAGGTTTTTGGCAACCAAACCTTTGAAAGACTCTGTTGTCCCTTGTCAACAAACTTAATCATTTAAAAAAAACAAACTCTTCCCTTTTTCACAATCCTGAAAAACTCCCTTTTTATAACCCTGTGGTCCTTCTTAAAAATTCTGAGGCTGGTTGGCCGAAAGACGATGGGTGTAGTTCTACCTGGGCATCTTTTGCAACCTGGACAATCATTTGTCTGAAATGGTAGGGGGTCTCCAGCTCAAGCAGGGGGCTGGACTAGAAGACCTCCAAGGTCTCTTCCAACTCGGTTATTCGACGTTCTGCGTTCTCTCTCTTTCTGCTGCCAACGTGAACAAACTGGATTTGCAGAAACGCCAAATGAAAAACAGCCCAAAGGACTTGCAGAATTGGACTCCTTCAGCGGTTCTCCTTTGGAACAATCTCTTGTAATCTCGGGCCTTCCTCTATGTTGCTCTCACTTTAATTAGTGAGGAGCATTTGAATGGGGGCAGCCAAGCCGATGCCAGCCCCCTCCCCTTCTAAACAAAACCCATCAGGTAAGGCGCCTAAGTCTGCAAAACAACGGAGCGCACCTGGGGTGGGAAGTAGGCAGGAAGATTTCACAAAAGGCCTTGCAAGAAAGGAGAGAGAGCTGTTAAACTTCCAGGGGGCAGGAGAGGCATTAAGCCAGCAGGACCCCCAGGGGGTGAAGCCCCCAAGGGGCACAAGAGAGTTTTGCGAGGGGGAAATAAAACTATTATTGTTGAAATATATTTGTTAGTCGTGTGTGTTTTTTAATGCATATTTTTCTTCTTGTCTTGTTTCGTTTTGCTTTGTTCTTGTTTCCTTCTTTTTTTTTTTACTTTTGGAGTTTGTCATCTAGCTTTGGAAATAATAAAATAAAATAAAAAATATTAAAACAAAAAAGAGAGCCAGCAAGAGGGGGCTGTAGAAGGGGGAGCAGCCTGGGAGTCTTCACCTCCCTTCTCTCTCTTCCAACGGCAGCCTTTGCTCTTGGCAAACAGGGGTCCCCTTTCCAACAGGTTGCAGGGCCTCTGCAGAGCCTCCGAGCAGATTCTCCTCCAGGGTTGATCCAGGCTGACCTGTGAACAAGTTTGCAGAGATGTTTCCCTCGTTCGCAAGTCAGCGTGGATCAGCCCTGCTGGGAGACTCTGCAGCTGCCTGATTTCCAGATGCAGAACTGTGGTTTCCTGGGGCGGAAAATGCTTTTTGGCTTGGTGTGAGTCTGACAATCACGAGTGGAATTTATTGCCTCATTGAATTACTTGCCTACATCTTAGGGAAGTAAATACCGACTGTCTGCAGCAGTGGCCATTTCAGTAGGACTGGCCAGAACAGGAGGAGGATTGTGGGATCCTTGGTGCTCTCTGAGCTGGGTGGTTTTCTTGCAGACGTTTCATGACCCAGCTAGGGAACATCATCAGTGTTAAGAAGGGAGTGGGTTTTGGGAGGAGGAGGAGGAGGAGGAGGAGGACTGTGGAATACTTGATGTTCTCTGAGCTGGGTGATTTTCTTGCAGACATTTCATGACCCAGCTAGGTAACATCATCAGTGCTAGAAGGGAGGGGGGAGTTTGTGGAGTGGGGGAGAATGAGAAGGGGGAGGAAGGTGGAAGAAGAGGATTATGGGGTCCTTGGTGCTCTCTCAGCTCAGTGGTTTTCTTGCAGACATTTCATAAGCCAGCTAGGAACGTCTCTCCCTTCTAACTCTGATGATGTTACCTAGTTGGGTCATGAAACATCTGCAAGAAAAAAAAAACTAAGCACAGAGAACAGCCAGGATGGCCTCCTCCTCTTCCTCCCCCTCCTCTCTGCAAATCTTCCTCCCTTCTAGCACTGATGATATTACCTAGCTGGGTAACGAAACGTCTAAAAAAACACACACAAAAAACCAAACACAGTGAGCACCCAAGACTCCACAATTCAACCCTGAGCTACGCAGATTCTCTTCTATTGGGCCCCAAAACCCAGCCCTGGGACTGTGCCAAAGCCAGATCCCTAAGCTGTAGCCCCCCACCCCTCCGCCACCCATTTTCCACCACTGCCAGGCGAGGCTGGATCTGGGCACTGGGTCCCAAACCTGCTCCAGACAGAGTCTGCTCTTCCAAACTGCCTCCTTCCTGCCCCATTCTTGGAATTTGGAAGCTTCTGGACTGTCTCTGCTTGCAGCCGGTGTCCTTCTGCCCGCTGCTCCTGTCTGGTGCTCCTGCCTCCCGTTTTCTCCCTCCCTCCCTCCCTCCCCAAAGCCCCCCCCCCCGTGAGTTTGTCCGACAGAAAACAGACTCTGCAAAAGTCGGTGCCGATCAAAGGCAACGGTTGTGTGTTCTGTGGAGAGATTCCAGGAGAGAGAGAGCAGGTCTGCCTGCATACGTGTAGATGTGCAGATGTGCAGTCTCCCAGCACCAGGCAGGACAGACCCCACGCCACCTGCTGCCCTGAAAAGAAATACCTCTGAGCATGTTCAAAGGGCACGTTGCCCTGAAATGGCTGCAATGTGGTATCCCTGGGCATTGGTAAGCATAGATCAGGGATAGGCAACCTTGGCTCTTTTATGACTCGTGGACTTCAACTCCCAGAATTCCTGAGCCAGCTGTGCTGGCTCAGGAATTCTGGGAGTTGAAGTCCATGAGTCATAAAAGAGCCAAGGTTGCCTACCCCTGGTATAGATAGTCCATGATTTACAAGCATTCATTTAGCGACCGTTCCAAGTTACAACGGCACTGAAAAATATGACTTGTGACCGGTCCTCGCACTTACAGGGTCACAGCCTCCCCATAGTCGCATCATCCAAATTCGGGTGCTTGGAAACTGGCATAGTGTTGACGACGGTCGCAATATCCCGGGGTCACGTGATCACCACTGGCGACCGTCCAAGCTGGGGAAGTCGGGACAGGTGTGTCAGACCAAGAAGGAAGTCTGAGCATCAACGGGTGTGTGTGTGTGTGTGTCTTCAAAGGGGCATTGGGGTTGATCGGGAGCATCTCCCTGCGATGGAAGCCAGTCCTGGCACATTGGATGTCCTTGGTTGGGAAGCCCAGGATGGGGGGGGGTGTCACCAAAAGCTAAACCAAGATGAAAGCCGAAGCGTGGGAGCAGGCTGCAGATCCCAAGAGATGCAACTTTGGGATGACTCATCTTGCTAAGGGCAGTTCTCTTTCCACCTCCCCCACTCCGCTGGACAAACACTATTTTATTTTATTTCATTAAATTTGATTTAGAAGCTTTCTTCCTGGGCTGCCGACCTCCGTGGGTGGCTGAGTGTTTACAAAGGAAGAGAAACCAGAAGAATGAACCCCACACATGAGGGAGGGAGGGGGGGACAAACATTGCCCCCCCCACCCTGTCCAAGGCCTGGGGGGACAGCCAGGTCTTCTGGGGACATCTTCTGGAGGGCAGGGGATGCCCCCCAGATCTCTGGGGGAGAGGCAGAGGCAGCAACAGAGGAGACCTCCCCCAGAGTTTTACTGCTAGCGCTCAACTTACAAGCCTTGGTTTAATGGTGGTTCCACGTTACAACAGCACTGAAAATGGTGTTATGACCGATTTCCCCACTTTTGACCGTTGTCCCAAAGGTTTTTTTTTAAAAAAAAAGGCAACCGGAGTTTGTTTTTCCTTGAAGACCTTTCGCTTCTCACCCAGGGAGCGTCTTCGCTTCTGACTGAATCTTCTGACTCATTCACGCAGAACTGAAGAAGCTCCTTGGATGAGAAGCGAAACATCTTCACGGAAAAACAAAGCCCGGTTGCCTTTTGGAAAAGCGCCTTCGGGACAACCCTGACCTGGATGACAGAGCATCTCCACAGACACTCGTGACCCTTGCAGCATCCTTAGGGTCACGGGATCAAAGACCGGCCTTCCCCAACCAGCTCCTCAATTGCACATTTGTGGCTTGTGTTGCGTTGACCGGGACGCTCCCCTTGCAAATAGAGAAACAGTGCCTTACCCGATAAAGACAATGATCCCCACTCGGGCGATGTTCTTATGGAGGACCTTCCAGGACTCCCGAATCCACTCCTTCTGGGCCTGGGAGAGGGGGAACGCTTCCTCCCCCTCCCCTCTGCTGCCATCCGCCCCTTCCTCCTCAAGGCCCAGGGCTGAGCCCCTCCAGGCTTCAGAGACGGCTGGATCCGCTGCGTCCCCCGTGCTGGATAAGGCGCATCCCATCTGCACCACAAGCTTTCCTACCCTTGAGCAACAAAGACAGACAGGTGCCAATCCAGAGACGGGATAAACCGGGGTCAAGCAAGTAGTTCAGTGGTGGTGAACCTATGGCACGGGTGCCAGAGGGGGCACTCAGAGTCCTCTCTGTGGGCACGCGCACCATCGCCCCAGTCCTAGGCCTTCAGCTGGGTTTTATAAAACTTTTTCGCTTTAGGCCTCCGCTGCCTTGTGCAAAAAAAAAAAAAGGTTCAATCAATTAGTCAATTTCAACTTCTCGCGGGAAAAAAAAGAACTTGTAAAGTTGGAATTGATTGATTGAACTTTTTAGTCCCACCCAGTCTGCCGTTACCACCGCAGCCACGCCCACCCAATGGGCCACACCCAGCCAATGGGCCAGACCCACCCGGCACCCGACGATGCATAAGTGGGTTTTGGGTTGCAGTTTGGGCACTCGGTCTCTAAAAGGTTCGCCATCACTGGAGTAGTTCTTCAAATCTCAGGCTGGGAGGGGTGGGGGGAGAGATACACACTCAGTTATTGCTTGACTGCGGGCAGTGGTGGTTGTCAACCTTGGCCACTTTAAGACGTGTGGACTTCAACTCCCAGAATCCCCCAGCCGGCTCTTTTAGGAATTCCGGGGGTTGAAGTCCACACGTCTTAAAGTGGCCAAGTTTGGAGACCCCTGCTTTATAAGCGAGATTTACTTGGTGACCCCCTTAGAGAGGAATTCTGGGAGTTGAAGTCCACGCATCTTAAAGTGGTCAAGACTGAGAAACATTGGCACAGAGGGACTCACTTCAAAGTGCGAATTCAACTGCAGGGAGTCCTTGATTTACAACCGTTCATTTAGTGACCGTTCAAAGTTACAACGGCACTGAAAAAAACGACTTAGGGCCGTTTTTCACAGTTATGACCTTCGCAGCATCCCCCAGGGTCATGTGATCAAAATTCAGGCACTCAGCAACTGACTCACAGTTATGACGGTCGCAGTGCCCCAGGTCATGTGATCCCCTTTTGCGACCTTCTGACAAACTAATGGGGAAACTGGATTCACTTAACAACTGGGTTACTAACTTATCAACTGCAGTGATTCACTACTGAGGCAGGAAAAGTCGTAAAATGGGGCAAAATTTGCTCAGAACAATAGAAATGTTGGGCTCAATTGTGGTCATAAACCGAGGACTCCCTATAATATGCTTCATTAAATTAATAACCCTCGTTAGTTTTTTTCCCCAAAAGAGGCGAGGTCAACGTGTCCGAGTCGAGCTGGCCTTCATTCCACCCTGAAAGAGAACTTGTGGTTTTCCCCAGTTGTTCAATCTCAGTAGCATCGTGTTTCTCTTTTTTTTTCAATTTTATTGCGGGTCTGTTTTATTTTAAGCAGGCCGGGTGTCACCCTGCTGGAGAATCCAGCTGCCAGCAACCCAGCCGGGGAATATCTGAAACTAGCAAAGCTGGCAAGTGCCAAGGGTTTGGGGGAATCACGGAAAAGGTGGAAAGGGAAGAGGAGGAGGAGGAGGAGAAGGAGGCAGAAGAAAGGAGGAGGTGGAGGAAGAAAAAAAGGAAGACTATGGGGTCTTTGATGCTCTCTGGGTTGGGTTGTTTTCTTACAGATATTTCATGACCCAACTAGGTAACATCATCAGTGCTAGAAGGGAGAGGGATAGGAGGAGGAGAAGAGAGAAGTAGGAGAAGAGAGGAGAAGCAGAAGAGAGGAAGAGAAGGAGGAGAAAAGAGAAGGAGAAGAGAGGAGGAGGAGGAGGAAGAGTATTGTGGGGTCCTCTCTAAACTTGGTAGTTTTCTTGCAGACACTTCATGACCCAACTAGGTAACATCATCAGTGCTGGGGGGGTGTTGCTCTCTGTTTATATATATAGCTCCTTCTAGCACTGATGATGTTATCTAGCTTGGATCATGACACGTCTGCAAGAAAACAACCAAGCTCGGTCCTTTGTTGATCAGTGGAAACAGGCAGATCAGGAACGGTGAGCAGGAGAGCCTCGGTGATGCCACCTTTAACCACCTCAGATGGGACATCTCCAGGCCAGGCTGTTCTGCTTCTCTCCAGCGGTCAACGCAGGTTTGATCTGGCTAGCTCTTTGCCATCAACCAGATGAGGAAAGGCTGCTGGAATTGGGTATGTCTAGTCTAATGAAGAGAAGGACGAGGGGGAACATGATAGCAGCCTTCCAATATCTCAGGGGCTGCCCCAAAGAAGAGGGAGTCAAGCTATTCTCCAAAGCACCCGAAGGCAGGACGAGAAGCAACGGGATGAAAACTAATCAAGGAGAGAAGCAACCTAGAACTAAGGAGAAACTTCCTGACAGTCAGAACAATTAACCAGTGGAACGGCTTGCCTCCAGAAGTTGTGGGTGCTCCATCAGGGAAGGCTTTTAAGAAGAGAGTGGACAGCCATTTGTCTGGAATGGTATGGAGTAAGAGTGTCCAACCTTGGGAACTTTAAGACTTGTGGATTTCAAAGCCCAAAATTCCCCAGCCAGCAATTTGGGGAGCTGAAATCCACAAGGCTTAAAAGTTCCAAGGTTGGACACCCTGGTCTAGGTCTCCTGTTGAGCAGCAGGTTGGACTAGAAGCCCTCCAAGGTCCCTCCCAACTCTATATTCCCCCTCTCACCTCCCTTGGATGGCTGGAGGATTTGCAAGGGGTCCCGAAAGAGGCTTGTACCACCCCCTCAGCCTGGGGAAGCGCCTCTGCCCGAAAGAAGGAAGATTAAAGCGAGTGCCTACTTACCAACGCAAGGGCTTCCTGAGGTGGTCCAGGCAGAAGAGCCGAGTGCGAGAAGATTCCTTTTGCAGAGATAAAAGAGCAAAGCTTTCACACCCAGCTTGTGGTCCCCCCCCCCCCTTCACACACTTGGCTCTGCTGCAATTCCCAGCCAGGTGCATCCCAGACGGGCTGCAGGCATCCTCAGGATCCTAAAGTCTGCCTGGTTTGGGTCCGAGCTCCCATGGGTTGATGGGCAACAGAGCTGCCTCTGCTGCTGGCTTTCCAGCCTCGGGGAGATCAATGTCCGTTTGCCCAAAAGTGCTGGGGGGGGCGCAGGAACAGCGAAAGGGAGCTTGTGCAGAAGCTGCCAGGGGAATTCTAGTTTTTCCAGCTTACTGGAAGGATTGGTGTGCCAGTTTGATCCTGTGATTAAAGATGCTGGGTGTAGAGTTCTGGGTGAGTTTGGGCCAGTCTCTGTCCCTCTCTCTGTCTCTTTCTAGGGAGGGAGGAACGGAGGGAGGTAGAGAAGAAGAAAAGAAAGAAAAAGAAAAAGGGAAGGCAGAGGAAAGAAAAAAAGTGGAGGGGGAGGGAGGGAGGGTGGAAGAAAGAAAAGAAAGAAAAAGAAGGGGGAAGGCAGGCAGGCAGGCAGAAGAAGGAAGGAAGACAGGGAAGAAAGAAAGAAAGAAAGAAAGAAAGAAAGAAAGAAAGAAAAGAAAGAAAGAAAGAAAGAAAAGAAAAAGAAAAGCCTTACTTTTGTCTTTAGTGGCTCTAATCACTTTAATGCAACCAAGTGATTTTTAAAAGCCACAAATCCCACCCCCCCCCCCATATTGTCCAGTGTCTTGAAGCACGTAGCCTCCCCTGCACCCCCTTCCAAGGCTTCCGGATGCCCCTGAGGCCGGGGCTCCCAGGCCGCTTGTGGGCTGCTCCCGACCTCCTGCTCTTGGGGAAAGAAGCTCACCGGGAGCCCCTCCGGCCTGGGTGGGCAGGGTCCCTGGGGCTGCTTTCCCACCCCTCCGTGGCGTTGAACAGGCTGAAGGGTTGCCCTGCCTGGGAACCCTCTGATGGGGGGGGGGGGAAGCAGAGGGGCTGAGCTCAGGCACATGGTTCCTTTTCATGACCCATCGTCACACGGAAGACAACGGCAGCAGAAAAAGCAGAATTGTGGAGAGGAGAAAGAGGAAGCATGAAGACTGTGGGGTCCTCAATGGTCCTCTGAGCTTGCTTGTTTCCTTGCAGACGTTTCATGGCCCAGCTAGGTAACATCATCAGTGCTAGTGAGGGAGGTGGGGGGTCTAAACTACTGCATAAAAACAGGACACACATTCAGGTTCCCCTATTTTATGATCCCCAGGGGCTCCCTTGGATGGAAAACAGCCATCCTTGGCTGTCAGGGGAGGCTCAGGAACCAAGCAGCTGGAGCCAGATCACCTGGGGATCCCACGAACCCCAGGCCAGGAGATCCTGGGAGGCGACACATCTTAAAATGGCCAAAGTCAAGAAACTCTTATTGCGCTACAGATCAATACCGTTTGCTGCAGATAAATGAGATTGTATCTTTCCCCAAAAATATCATTTTCCTGCACAAGCTCCCCTATTACCTTTGAGGGGATTCCTGCAGATCCATGTGTGCAGATCACACACCCAGCCGTCAGATCCCCCAGCCTCTTGCTAATCGGCTTTGTAAGCAGCCGTGTCGTTTTTTTCCTTCTCTCCCAGGAGGGAAAATTCTGCTGATTGTTACTGTGACTAAACCCCATCTCTCAGCCCAATGCATAATTTTCCATGCATTTTTGCACATTTATTCTTTTCTTTTTGAGAAAACACCGGTGCCCAAAGAAGCCGAGACTTCCAGATATTTGATGCAGACGAGGCAACTTCTTTCCATGTGTTTTTGCACAGCTGCTGGAATCCTGGTATGGGTCCAAAGAGGTTTTTTTGAGTCTTTCAGATCTGCAAAGATAAAGGCACCACCCCCAAGGAAATTTCCTTGTTTTGGAATTTGTTTTTCCATAAATATGTGCCCATACTGGCTCTTTTATTCCTATGGGGGTGTATTGCTTCTGATTTTGGAATCTGAAAAAAAGTGGCATCTCCCTGATATAAACCATGCTTGGGGGGGAAAAAGATGTACCAATTGAGGGCTGAAATGAGGGGTCCTTGATGTCTTCTGTGCTGGTTGTTTCCTTGCAGACGTTTCATGACCCAGCTAGGTATCATCATCAGTGCTAAAAGAAACTGGGGTTTGCAAGGAGGAGGAGGACACTGTGGGGTCC